AATTATTTCTAACTTTCCGCTTTGAAAATTAATAATTTACAAAAGTAGGAAGTTATAGATTTCGTTACGATTTTGAGAATGCGAGTTTTCATCAGATCTCCACGTTTTGAGGTCCTAGAAAGCCGTTCCGACTATTCCCGCCTGGACGTCCGGCCGTGTGTATGTATGTATGTAAATAAAATTTTGTCGTACCATATCTTTAGAATGAATTAACCGATCGAGATGGGCGGCGTTCCGAAGTGTTCATTGAGACTTCAAGCAGATTAGATTTTCAAGTCAATCGGTCGAGCCGTTTGAAGGATTTTCAAAAAATAAAAACCAAGAAAACAAAAATTTTATAGATTTTCGAGCACTGCGCTCAAAAATAAGGGCTTTCCCCTTATTTTAAAGGGATGTCCTGCAGCATCAACAGTTTTTCAGATTTTGTTTTTACTTAAGGTAACCAAACTTTTTGTGCGCTAGAACCCCTGCATGGCCTAAGACGGCCCTGTTTATAGTAGAAAATCCTCCATCCAAAAGATTAAAATAACAGGTATCAAAAATACCTGTTATTTTAATCTTCATTACTGTTCCTTCTCATCAACTCCTAGGGACGTTATTTGTCCATAATTACAGTCTACAGCGTTACGTTTAGAACAGTATTATTTTCAAATAATGTTTTTTTTTTATAGTATAGTGTGACAAACGAGCACACAGTCCACCTGATGGTAAGTGGTTGCTGTGGCCCATAGACATCTACATTTGTCCTCGTTTGCGAATCAAAATGCAGATGCGTTGCCACCCGTGAGGACTGAGATGGAATGCCTCGTTTCCAGTAAAAAGGGTCTCCGGTTCTCTACACTCACCATACGAAACACAGCAGTGTTGAGCTGCTATTTGACGCTGGTATTCTGTGAGAACGTGGTCCTTCCCCGGTCGAGCCGACCCATTCGTGCTACAAATATACTACTAATATAGCTGCAGCATGGCTCTACCACGTAAAAATGTAATCATTTTAATTGAAATTTCATGTTTTTTTTTTGGATAAGGGTGACCAATAAAATAAGGGTGTAATGTAAGTTGAAGAGTTCATTTCAAGACGTCGTACTGTTCTGAAAGATTTTTTACTAGGTCATTGTCCTCTTCTTCTGCCTTAGAGTCCATCTGGGTGGTTGCCATTCTCTTACATATTTCTGCCACCAAATGACAGTGCTTGCATTGCTGTGTTCAGGTCTGAAGATTATAGAGAGCCAGTATAATTTGTGAGGCATTTCATTTCAGTCCTCAATAGGTGACAACGCACCTTTTTACGTGGTAGAGCCATGCTACTGCTATAGCTTTAGCATGGCTCTGCTATAGCTGTAGCATGGCCCTGCTATAGCTTTAGCATGGCTCTGCTATAGCTGTAGCATGGCCCTGCTATAGCTGTAGCATGGCTCTGCTATAGCTGTAGTATGTCTCTGCTATAGCTGTAGCATGGCTCTGCTATAGCTGTAGCGTGGCTCTGTTAGTAGTATAGTTGTAGCATGAGTCGGCTCGGCAGGTGAAGGACCGCGCTCTCACAGAATACCAGCGTAAAATACCAGCTTAACGCTGCTGTTTTGTATGGTAAGTGTAGAGAACCGGACACCCTTTTTACTGGAAATGATTCATTCTATCTTAGACCTCACGGGTGACAACGCATCTGCATTTTGATTCGTAGTTGAGGATGGATGTAGATGTCTATGAGCCACAGCAACTATGTAATTACCATCAGGTAGACTGTGTGCTCGTTGGTCATCCATATTCTATAAAAAAAAACCTTTAACCTTCTTTGTTTGTTTTTGTTGTCAGGTGAACCGTAAGTTTCATTTTAATTTCATTTTTATTAAGAGAAAGATAAGTAACGTAGCTGAAATGATAAGACAGCTAGCATAACTTACTAAAGTAAACTTTTGGAATGTTCTTAATTCAATTTAATACAACTTGATGACAATAATGTACCCGTACAGGTGAAATATATAAGTGGATGCTGAGGCCCAGACAACTACGTTATCATCAGTGCTAAGCTGCTTATGCTGGTATTCTGTGAGAGTATTTCTTCCCCGGTCGAGCCGAACCATTCGTGCTACAGATATACTACTAATATAGCTGCAGCATGGCTCTACCACGTGTAACTTTATCTCCATTTTTATATATCTATTATCCTACATTATCATATATCATATCCTCGATTAAGAATCAAATCTCAGGTACGTTGTTTTAAACCTTGCCACGAAGATGGGATGCCTCGTTATCAGTAAAAACGTTGACTCCCACCGGCACCTCAGAAATTGTTAATCACAATTTAAGTTGATACTGATTTATCATGTGCTCGTCGGTGAAAAAGAACATCGTGAGGAAACTTTAACGTCTCAAATATCAAAAATATTGGAAGGGTATGTACTATGTAATGTGCCACCAAGTTTTGGGACTGGGGCTTCCCTACTTATAGACCTACGGACGAGAGCTGTAGACTATAGACTCTGTAGATATGTTACTTTAATCATTTTCAAGTACAATATATCTTTCTTCCAAGGTTAAAGTTTCTCGTCTGGTAACCTCTTACCAATTAACGAAGCGTAGGGCGCCGCCGACTGTAAGTGACGATCTGGTAAGACAAGCAGGAAGTCGATGGATGCAGGTGACTGTGTGGTGTACCTCGATACTTCTCGCATCGTCTGGAGGGTTCTATTATTTTCCTAGCCCTCGACCCTTGGGTGTAACCCGCCGTGAGCTCCCGTCAGTTTAGTGTTAATTTATTTATTTCATCATGTTTAGCTTTTTAATTATATTTTAGCAGTGGTGATCGTGTATTGCGATATTCCATGGGGGAATTTATATATAATCTATATATATATATATAATCTGTGACTATTTCTTAATCTTATTTCAAACAAAAAACTAAGGAAATGGGAGTATTGTTTGTAAGTAATGGCGGCCCGCCACTAGATGAAGTGGCTATCTGGAAAGACATGTAGGAAGTCAATGTATGCGGGTGACTTAGGACCATGTTTTGTGGTATTCCTTGGGGGAGGCCTATGTTCAGCAGTGAACTTGTGAAGGGCTGTAATGATGAGTACATCTTGTATTCCTTGAGTAAATTTGCAACTTTCCTTTATTCAGCAATGGACTTGTGAAGGGCTGTAAAGATGATGATGATGTCTTACGTATATCAACTCTTCAGTAGTTTGTTCTGACGTAGTCGTCATAATTTTAATTCTTCTAGATGTGTTTTATCTCAAACAAAGTAATCATTATTTATTAAATTTGTATATATATTGTATGTCGTGGGTCACTTGGTTCACTTTTGAGGTACATGCAGAGAGGCTGCGCATAAGGAAGTTGAGAAAAATAAAAGAGTTTGTTCGAAAGTTATAGTTTATATTAGATTTATAATAAGATATGTAGTCTACAAAATTTCACAAATTTTCACAACGTTATTTGAACCTAAAGCGTCTACCCATTTTATTATGAAAATAAACTTATAAAAATCACTGGATCTACGTACGTCGGGGGCTGATTTTACGCAACCATTATTTTTTAAAATATAATCTAATAGGCAGTTTTCATCCTCGCGTATCTTAACATGAGTAAGTCAAAAACTAATAACGGTAAAAAAATAAAAAAATATCAATGCATAAAATCCGCCCCCCGTCAAACCAAACAACAATGTCGTCCGATACATATACAATAATATTTATTATCGTTATATTTAACTAGAGTTATACAGAATAATGATTCCTATGAAATATAATTATGCATTCTTTAAATTTATTCAATATAATAATAATAATAATAATACTTAATAAGTATCAATAGGTAATGGTTAGTCAATGTCGTGCTACAGACTACTATAGTATAATAATAATAATGAATGAATCGTATTATTTCTTTATCATTTATTACTTTAAATTTATTACTCGGTATCATAACCACTAAACAGCCCGCGGCAGCCTCGGCTAGCGCCTGCGTCCTCCGCGCCCTATTTCCTATAACCATTCCCTAAACGTCCCCGTCATGTCAACTAGTTTGTCCTAACTACCACTCGAGCTAATCGGGCGCGGTGGCGCCGGCGCACATCACAAAAAAACATCGTCAACACATAAAATAATAATCAATAATAATAATCATACAGATAAAAATCATTCATAAAAACATTACAATAAAAATCTAAACATTAAAACACACTTAAAACAAACATTATATTAATATTATCATAATCATAGTGTGTACGTATGTATAATATCATTTAAGCGAATAGTCGTATAATCAAAATAATGTGAGCATGGCGCGCGAGGGAGCGGCGCGGGCGGCGGTCGCGAGCGGCGCGTCGCGGTGCGGCGCTGCGCGGTCCGGCGCGGCACGGCGCGGTGCGGTGCGGTGCGGTGCGGTGCGGCACGGTGCGGCACGGTAGCGGTCCGACACGGTCCGACACGGTCCGGCGCGGTGCAGCGCGGTACGGCGCGGCGCGGCGGGCCGCGAACGGCCGCTCGCACATTTCCTACAAACATTAGCTAGTCGCGCGGCGGCCCCTAACAACCGAACGGAGAACGCCGCGACGCCCGCTCCCCGCGCCGCCCGTCTCTCGCCTATTATTATAATATTATTACGATATCTTAATACTTTACGCTACTACGTTAGGTAAGCTTTATAAATTTTCGATTTCTCATTTACGCTATCAATAATAATAATTATACAACTTTTTTTAAATTTTATGTATTTTTTTTCGAAATTCTATCGTAACATACCTCGACTCTGCGGCGGCGAGCGCTGCGGGCGCTCGACGACCTAATAAAAAACGTTCATAATAAGAAAATATATCGTGAGTAACTCTGCCGACTTACGTTAGGTGCGGCGCGGCGGACGGGCCGTGCCGGCGGGGCGCCGACTTTTGGCACCAGGATTTCGATTACGCGACTTATACTTTTTAATATTTCCGTAACGATTTAAGTAAAAAAGGTGCGTCCGCGGCCGGCGTGGCGCGGGGAGCGCGGCGCGGCTTACGACAGGATGCGGATCGCTTGGTGCGCGGGCGCGGCGCACGCGGGGCACGGCGCCGCCGCCGCCGCCAGCCGCTGCGCGCACTCCAGGCAGTACAGGTTGTGGCCGCACGGCACCAGCGCCGCCGCCACGCCGCGCTCGCCGCACACGGCGCACGCGCGCGCCGGCGACGCGGCGGGCGACGGCCGCGGCGGGCCCCACGCCCACACGCCGCCCGCGCCCGGCGACTCGAACGACGGCGACTCGCCCAGCCCTTCGTCGCGCTCCGTCGACGACCAGATTCCAAGTAAATCGCCGAGACGCGCCGACGAACCGCCTGACGAGCAAGAGCCGGCAGACGAGAACGCGGCTTCGGGCTCGGGGCGCAGCAAAGAAGCCAATCCTGCGGCGCGGTACAGCTGTGCGAGCGGCTCGCCCTCCCCGGTGCCCGTGCCCGTGCCGCCACCCGCCGCGCCGGTGCGCAGAGCGATGTGCGCCTCGATCTCTTTACGTGCAGCCTCCACACTCTCAGGAAGTCCCGTCACTTCGAATACGGGCTCGCGCTCGCGTGACGGCGTCACGATGTACGTGTGTGTTGTGTGCTGGATGCGCTTGATAGTGGCGCCTTTGGGACCGACGACAAGTCCCACGACCCGATAGGGTACGCGCACCTGCGCCGTCACGTGGCCAGGCGCACCGGCAGGTGGCGGTGGCGCAGCGCCGCATTTGCGCGACGCGCGGATCTGAGAGAAATGCTCCGCTGCCGATAGAATCTCGCGCTTGGCACGCGCTACGTCCTCCTTGCGTCCTGTCACTACGAACACAGGTTCTTCGCCGCGCACAGGCGTCTTAATGTACGTGTTGGTTTTTGCACGAAGAGCCTTGATCTTGCAACCTGAAACGAAAAAAAAATGTGTTAAGTATAATATAATATAAAGAGCAATCGTTGGTACTATGTATATATAAAGCTCAAGGCCCTTTAAGTAAGTTAGGGTTCGCTCCGTGGCATTGTACGGCGACGCCGAAGGTCATTTGTGTATTCGACCATGGTTCGGCGGTGACGAGGCGAGTCGCACCCAGTTAGCTACATTAGATCTACGCCGTAAATGCCGCGTGGTGCGGAGCGACGCCACGTTAGCGCGTTATTCGACATATGTCTGTGTTTCGAGTCATACGTAAGTTACGTTAGTAGAGGTTTCGTAGATTACGAATTAAATACGATATGAATTTTAGACTGTTCAGTATAACATAAACATTAAAGGTAAATACTTAACTAAAGCTTTTTTAAGCATTTACCTTCCTATTTTCCTTTTGTAAAAATATCAAACCGAAAATCAGTAACTAAATAGTACAAAGTTCGAGTTGAATTAGTCTGTGCCACGTGGCGGTCGCCTCTACGTCGTCTGTCTCGCTCGAACCTGTGCACCGAACATCGTCGCGTCCCATTCATGCGACCCCAATGCGGCAAAAACGTGGCGGAGTGGCATGCAGTCTCCGCGGAGTTACGCTCGGGTACTTACGACCCCTCAATCAATATCACGATTGTTTTCTCAAGCCGAAAAGCCTATGGAATGAAATAATAAGCGTGCTTCGTTCATCACCAAAGTTTTAAAATATTAATATTTTCTTTTACGAAAATTAAAGTTTAATATTATATTTACGTAGGCGTAATCGACTTTTTAAATTATATTAAAGACACTAATAAAAGGAAAGCGGACACAGCCTGTTTGAGTGGAGGTGTGGGGGGGGGGTCTCTTCAATCTCAGGTCGTTGACCTGTATATTAGTACCATTATAATTGAAGTTTTTTACCGTGACAACCATTGTGCTATTTTCATAGAAATATCACTGGAAATTTTATAATATATCGAATACAAAAGTTAAAATACCTAAGTTAACTAAGGGCCGATTTTTTAATCCTTTCTTTTTACTATATTATAATTTTGGTGGTGATGTAGTTAAAGATGGGTAAAACGAACTGGCTCAGCTTAACAGAACCATATTCACCCTTGTCTTAAAAACACCCAAATTGTAATCATTTCGAAAGTTTGCTTAGAAACCGTTTGGTACAAATGCGTGGAATATCTACAAAAATGGGGCCCGCCGACCGCTTGGTAGCCCGATGGTAAAAAGGGGAGGTAGAAATTAAGGCGTATAATTCCTATGCACACTCTTCGAAATGCATCCTGTAGAACACCGAGAAGTTGGCTACTGTGCGCCTGTGCTCGAGATTAACAAGATCAGTTTCAACTAAATTAAGGTAACCAATACGCCTCTTAGCATGCCTCTCTAACGCCAACGATGCTAGATGGTATTTTGGAACACCAGCTGATACATGATAGCAGTACTCTGCACGATCGGACTTGCGCTTTATATAGGGTCAGAAGGTGATCCGGCGTAAAGTACCACCGAAGATCACTAATAATCTGAACTATCAAACGAATACAATTGTTTGGTTGATAAACTGTTTTGAATTTTCTGAATAATTGGTTGTTAATTTTTTAATTGCTATTTACCTCACTGTTTATTGTTTGATCTTGTTGCATTATTGAACTATGTTGAATTAATTTGGGTACTATAGAGGTTACAATAAAACACTAAGTACTTCATCTGAATTCTTTAATTTAATTATTTCATTTGTGACTATACACTTTACTGCTGAGAAAAATGATAACTTGTGTTCAAATCGCACAGCCCCCATCTACATTGCTTTAATTTTAATTCAATATACAACCGCAAAATCAAAACCAACTAGTGCATGTCTAACAATGGATTAGTAAAGGCTGTTTTGTTTTGCGTTAATCTCAATTTTTATTTTTATGAAAGCAAATATCAATGACAAGAGGTTGAAAATACCAAAAGTATAAGATTAGACTTAATAAATTATATTGATTCTATTAAGTATATTCAAATAAGCTGCTAATTAGTCATTAAAAGAATTAAGACTAAATGCCATTTCGTATAAAGGCATAGCTTATAAACTAGAACGTTAACAACGCACTGTCCTGAAGCTATGGAGCTCAAGTACTAGTTTTTGATGCCTTGGCTTGGCTCGCCGCCAACTGCAACGGGCGCAAAATATCGTCCTCCTTCCAGCCTGATAATGTCAATTACTGAATTTATTGGCCGATATATTAGATTCGGATACCACACTACTCTCTTATTTACTATTTATGCTATCAGAAGTTTCACAATTATGAACAAACTATAAATAAATTATTGTAATAGCTAGATTGTGTACGTATTTTGATTTAAACTTTTAAAGGGGGCTAGTGACAAGTCTTGCAAGGACACAGAACTTTAATGGCATTTAAATACACGGTGTTTTCAAAAATTCGTAGTGTACACGGCAAAGAGTTTTATAGAATTCTGTAAAATAAATAGTGCGTCCACAATATACAATACAATACATTGCTAGAGAAAGCATAAAAGTGGTCTAACTAGCAACACCTACTTCCGCACGAGAACCGCCCGCATAATAATATAATCACTGAGCGCTACGTCGTCTACGCTGCTACGCGGGCAGTGCACTCTACGCCGTAGCGAACCGGGTCACTGCGCCTCCCTACCCCCTCTAGGTTAGTGCTACGCAGAGCTCGAGTACTTTTTATGATTAAAACATTCTTTTTATTCTATATATTTTTCTCGGCATTGCTGTTAATTAATCAGATCTTAAATAAAATTCAAATATACAGATCGACTGACATACAGTAAGACATTAATCATGATACCATGGATAATCTTAATACTCGTAATTCATATAATCACGCCTCTTTCCCGTAGGGGTAGGCAGAGACCACTTCTTTCCACTTGCTACGATCCTTACATACTTGTTTTGCTTCGCCCACTTTCATTATTCCTTTCATACATGCTCTACGGTTTAGGGTACTCTTGACCTGGCCTTACTTGTTTATAATAAACTTGTACGTAAACGTAGTGGTATTTTTACTGATCACACATTGACACCATAATAAACTAGCCCTAAAATACATTTTTCAAAATGTTAGATAGTAACGAACCCGCCTATTTTACCCCGCGACTTCGCCCGCGTGTAATTTAGAGTTTTAATTATGTTGCGCGGAACCCTAATTATTTTTCTAAAATATAATTAGCCTAAGTTACTCCTTATAACATCAGCTATCTGTCAGTGACGTCGAAATTGGTCCAGCCGTTTCGGAGATTACCCTGAACAAACAGACAGACAGACAGAATAAACGAAAATGTTAAAAATTGTGTTTTTGTTATAAGTACCGTATATACTTTCATATGCATTTAGTAAAAAGCTGTTATTTTACATTTGTTTGTATTTTACATTACAAACAGACACTTTAATTTTATTTATTTGTATAGATAAATAATGATTAATGTCATTTTAAATCAAAAAAAGGAAATGGTAATATTATATGCCATGTTAAATAATAGTGGACTAGATGGAGTGACGACCTGGTATAAGATGCAGGAAGTCGACGCATGCAGGTGGCTCAGGACCATGCTTTGTGGCAATATGAGAGGGTCGGGGGGCTGATGAATGAATGTAATGATGATGATGATAATGATGGTGGTAAGTAAAACGTTAAAAATAAAGGCAAACAGTTAGTAGTCAGAATTTGTCTTTCCCACGCTTGGTTCTGACGTCGCCAGACTTGATTTCCTAAAACGTTGTAAATCCTTGTGATAATTAAACTATTGATATTAAAGATCTGAGTTATTTTTTGCGCCATCTATCGGATAACAAAGACTTTTCTGGCCTTTTCCTTCAACACATTACCATGCGACACGGACAGCAACGATTGATACAACATTTATAAACATTTTTTATCGTAAGTTTCTTGAGAGTTTAATTTCGTAGAGCGGAATTTCATAGTACGCAAGTAACTCAAGTTCAATCGCTCGCATTTGAGCAACGGAACTGCCTGCTATTATAGAATACCTATGTCAAGCATAGTGTGACAGCCAGTTCTGAATATAAACCAAAAGTGTGATGCAACGGCAGAGTGTAGAGCCACTTTCAAGCCCCCCACGATTCAAAAACTATTTTTGACCTACAATTGTAGTTCACCTAATACTAAGGTATACATATAATTCAAATTTCGTTAATAAACTTAATCAAAAAAATAAACCTATTAATACCTATTGGGACTAGTTATTGAGTAAGGTCTGAAAAGTGTTATTGTTATCACTACTGAACTCTCTCAACAAATACCTAGGCCATTTTTAGGTTATTTAGATTTTTTAAATTTGGCATCAAGGTAGATCGTTAGTCTTATTTATACATATACAAAGCTATGGGAGCTTAGCGCTCGTTTAGGTTTTCCACCCTATCGGCGAAGATACCACGAACGTCGTTTGTAAAGAACTTCATCCCCTTTTCAAATTTATGTTTTTGGTGGGATTTAAACTAACTTCCTGATGGGAATTTTAAATATGGACTTTTTAAAAATTATAAAGCTCAGAACTGGATGACAATGCAACACTTGTTTCTTGCACCTTTTAGTCTATCTATCTATCTGTTCGTTTGTTTGTCTCGGTACTAGCTGCAATTGATTAATAACTTTCCGATGGGATATTAAAACATAGTTAAAAATTGTATGCTAGAAGCAGAAAGAAATTGATGAAATATTTTTTGTTTGATAGGAGAAAAGATAAACAAACAAATCAATCGAGGGAGAGAGGAGGGACTTATAAGAAGGTATTACGAAGTAAGTAAAGCAGCGACTAGTCACTAGGAAAACATAAATCAAGCCGAAGTAACCATAACAACGGCGGGCAGGGGTTGCCCTCCCCGCGGAAGGCGAGCAACTTTCCCGCGCACCCTTACTCTACATCTGTCTCTCTATACAGTGCTATAGGATGCTTCCTGTCCGTAATGGAAGCCAAGAACCGTGTTTTCATCTTT